GGAGTATGGACAGGATCCTGAATCAATCAGAAGAAAGTTCAATATGCACAATCACAGGATAGGTCTATACATTATTTCAATGCGCATAAGTTAGTATGTTCCTTCAAGCTTCCAATGTGTTCCAAAATTGAAGACGTTCTGCCTTTTTCTCCGATGGGATTTACATATTAAAAACCAAAAGGACTGCGGATGCTGTAAATCAGAGACAAAAATAGAAATTGCTGGAAACGCTCAGCAGGTCTGGTAGCATCTGCAGAGAGAAATCAGAGTTAACATTCCGGGTTGAGTGACCCTTCGTCAGAACCCTTCCTGGATTTCCACATTAATCTTTTGACCTGTTCACCTTCATTGCAATCTCTTGTAGGATAAAGTGTTTACTAAAACTCACTTTCACAGCCACACTTTTCTTCAGTGACTGTACCCAGCTCTTCCTTTCTCCACACAGATCCTAACCAAGTCCCACCTTTCATGTTTCAAACCCAGCCATGGGTTGGGATTACAAGTATCTCCATGACATAAAACACTCCTCAGACAGCTGCTCTCACTGCATCCTGCCATCCACACTCAGTTCCCTGTGCTGCCACATGCACACTGTTAACCTATCAACACTCCCTCATGCCATCATTCTTTGTCTCATTCAACACTTCAACAACTTTTTCCTCTTCTTGTCAGATGTTAATAAGCACAAGGTCCAAAACCCAAGGGTAGCAATGTTCCTCTGGATTCTTCCTTCCCTCTAACTCCATCTATCTTCTAATCCCACCTCTTGCCTTTATTAATTATACCCTCTGACCTTACCCACTCTGATGCTAAATGATCTATGCTCAGTAAAGCACTTAGCTTTATCCCTTTGCAGCCCCACCTCAATGAATTTCAGGCATGACACGATGGTGAGCTCTCCTTCCACTGCCTTCACCTCCATGCCATTTCTTTGAACAGGAGTCCTCTCCCCACCACATGGACCCTTTCACCAATCTCTATGACTTCCCCTCCCCCTGGCCTTTTACCTGCACTTGATCTCTTAATATGAGAACTGCTGATGTGACATATGCAGTCTTAATTTCTCTGCTCCCTCACCTGCTCTAACCTGTCTCCCTTTGAACTTGCTCCGTTCCCTCAGGTCCAACCCCAACCTTGCTATCAAACCTGCTGATAAGGGCAGTGGCTGGTGTCTTCTGGTGTGCTGACCTCTATCTGCCAGAGGTTGAGCTCCAACTCTCTAACACTTCCTCTAATCTCCCTGGACCATGATCCACCAGTGATCCATCAAGCTGTTATTTATAGGACTCACTGACATCACCTCCTCTAAAGATCTTCTATACCAAACTTCACATCTCATTCATTGGGAAAATCAAAGTGGCAGAGACAGTCACGAGGAGTAATTCATAGAATGCAATTGGGATAATTTCCTAGAATAATACATTTGGATGTAATCAGGGATCAGGCTATTTTTGGATCTGGCAAAGTGTAATGAGGTAGATTCAATAAATAATCTCCAAATAAAACATCCTCTACGGAACAGCAGCTATTACATGAAAGAACTTAGGCTTTAGTTTGAGAGTGAGCAACATGGGTATGAAACAACAGTGCTAAACTCAAATAAAGGTCATTACATGGGATAAGGACAGAGTTGGCTAGAGTGGACTGGAAAGGAGTTTAGCAGGAAGACAGTTGATGAACAATGGCCGATGTTGAAAAAAACATTCATGACTCGCAACAAAGATATATGCCAGTAAGGAAGAAGAATTCTAGAAGGGGATAAACCAAACATGGTTAACCAGGGGAGTTAAGAACAGTATTAAATTGAAAGGAAACATTCAAATGTGGAAAAGATTTTTGGTAAATCAGAGAATTGGGCCACAATCACTGCCGGTAGATATTAATGACTTGGATGAAGGAAATGAATGTACTGTCACCAAATTTACCAATGATAGAAAAATAGATGGGAAGGCCAATAGAGAGTATGACTCAAAGGGTCCTTAGAGGGATACTGACAGGTTGAGTGGGCAAAAGCTTGGCAGATGGAATGTAAAGTGGGAAAATGTGTGATTATGCACTTATGTAGAAAGAAGAATTGAATTTTATTTAAATGGGAAAAGACTGCAGAAAGCTCCAGGATGGATGGATTTGGGGCTCCTGGTGCATGAATCACTAAAATAAAACTAGCATACAGGTTCAGTAGTTAATAAGGAAGGCAAACTGAATGCTGGCCTTCATTTCAAAGAGAATGAGTACAAAATAGTTGGGCCTTGCTAGAACTATACAAGGCACTAGTCAGATCACAGCTGGAATACTATGAACAGCTTTGGTCCCTTCATTTGAAGAAGAGGTACTGGCATATAAGGCAATCCAAAAAGGATTCAATAGGTTGATCCCAGGTATGGAGGGACTGTCTTATGATGAGAGGTTGAGTAGGTTGGGCTTTTACTCATGGGAATTTAGAAAAATGAAAATAGACTTTATTGAAACATATAAGGTTGTTATGGGCTTCACAGAGTAGATGTGGAGAGATTGTTTCTCTTTATGGGAGAGTTTAGGATCAGAGGACATAAAACTTAAGTAAGGAATTGTCCATTTTTCTCTGTCAGAAGGTGAATTCTTTACCACATTTAATGGCACAGCAGAGTTGATGGTCCAAACAGCCTATTTTTGCTCCTAGGTTTATGTCTATGGTCATTTACACTTATTTTATGTGTCTATCAATGCTGTAGTACCATTAGCACTCACTTTGTCTTTTGCTCTGGGCACTCTCATCATCTTTACCACTTACTCCTCACCCCCCTTTATCAACAGCATAAAGCTAACCGTGTGAGCCCACTGGAGCAGCGCATGGGCTGTGGGCCCCCGGAGCAGCGCATGAGCTGCAAACCCCGGCACAGCGCATGGGCAGCAAGCCCCGGTGCAGCGCACAGGCAGCGAGTTCCAGAGCAGCGCGAGGGGAGCGAGTCCCGGAGGGAGACTGACGCAGTCCTGGAACCTACCTTGCAGCAGTTGAGTGCCAGTATGGAGTAGGTTGGAGGCTTGGATCAGAGCAGGGATGGCTGTTGGATGGGGATCTGGCCCTGTGCTGAGCTGATACAATGTAATGTTTATTTGACATTTTTTTTTAACCTGCCTGCAAAGTCAATCCTTTAACAATGTCTTATTTCTAACTTTTTTTTTAAAAACTCTGTTAAATAATGCAACTACTTTTTATTTCTCTTGTGTATCCAAGATTTGTACCTAAGTACTTGTACTTAAGATGGCGCCATAAGAGGCAGACATTGTAAAAGCTTTTTTTGAAGCACTGTACTTCAAAGTGGAGTACACGTGACAATAAAGGATATTCTATTCTATCCCCTTTAGTTTTGACAAGGAGTCATATCAGACTTGAAAAATTAACTGTTTCTCTCTCCTCCAGCACTACGTTTTGATTAGCAATCAACTTGTGCAAGTAAACTCCTACAGACGCTATGTGTTAATAGGAACACAATCTTTTTGTGATATTGACTAAGACATACACTTGCTGGGACAGCAGTGATAACTCTCCTGCCCAACTTTCAAATTGTGTAATGGAATCTTTTATGTTAACCTGAAGACAGTGGAGGCCCTACAGTACTGCACTTGAGTGATTTATTTTGTACTTAAGTGGGACTTGAACTCAAAACATCTGACTTACCAGCAAGTATGTTTCCAAAATGTCTACGACTTTCTGAGCTACATCAGATGCATAATGATACTTTATAAATACAACATATTTATCGTAAACATTATAAATGATCTGCTGCATGATTATATCTAGGGATCTCTCCTGCAGGAATGAGGTAAACCAGATTTCTGGCTGTCAATGGAAACTGGACTAAAGTTCCTGTGTGCTTTTAATATCGCAAATAGAATTCAAAATTTGAAACTGTTTGCAGATAAAATTAATCTGTATGGAGCTTCAGTATCATGATGGATCCATCAGGAGGAATGGTATCCACAGAAGACACTTTGTTAATTGGCAACATGGAAATATGTGCAGACAGAGCTGAGATACCTGCAACAGCACCAACTATGAAATAAATGAGGAAGTGACTCAAACCAGACTCCACACTCATAGCAATATAGGTGACTCTTAACTGCTGTCTGGGCAATAAATGCTGGCCTAGGGGAAGCGATGGCCAAATGGTATTATTGCTCAACTATTAATCCAAAAACCCAGGTAATGTTGTAGAGACCCAAATTCAAATCTCACCATGGCAAACGGTGGAATGTGAATTCATCAAAAAATCTGGAATTAAGAGAATTGAAAGACTACAAAAAGGATAGAATAGAATATCCTTTATTGCCACATGTACTCCATTTTGAAGTACAGTGTTTCAAAAAAAGCTTTTACAATGTCTGCCTCTTATGGTTACATGTTATGTACAAGTACTTAGGTACAAATCTTGGATACACAAGAGAAATTAAGCCTCTCTGCTCCTATGATGCTGCTTGGCCTGCTGTGTTCATCCAGCCCTGCACCTTGTTGTCTCGGATTCTCCAGCATCTGCAGTTCCTACTATCTCAGAAATAAAAAGTAGTTGCATTATTTAACAGAGTTTTTTAAAAAAGTTAGAAATAAGACATTGTTGATTGTCTGGTTCACTAATGTCCTATTGGGAAGGAAACTGCTGTCCTTACTTGGTCTGGCCTATAAATGACCCCAGCCCCAGACCCATCACAATGTGGTTGACTCTAAACTGCCTGATGGGCAATAAATGCTGGCCTAGCCGTCAATACCCACATCCCATGAGTAAATAAAAAGAAACCAAAAAAGTAAGCAGAACTATGATGGAAAGGTCTGACATAGCCAGACATAGCAAAGAAATGCCATTGTAAAGTGAGACAAAGGAAATTATTGAGTCATGGGATGTGAGCAAAATATTGAAGATGTTTAATGCACCAGGTAGCAACTGCTTACAAGAAAAAAATTGAAATACAAAAATAATGAAAATAATAAAGTTTATAAAAGACAATTTCTATAAAAATAACCTGGTTTACTTATTTAAAACTTCATTTAAAGTAGTTACTGATTTTCTTTCTGATCCAAATCAATGCAATATTTCAAATAACATTCAGCAGAATAACACAGCAGAGTGTGGGTTACGAAATTAACAAGGGTTACATTTACTCTCCTGTGGTAACAAATTGAAGAAGATACAAAGAACAAACTTCAAAAGATAGCAACAGGAAATCTTCCTTCTTGTCTTAGTCACAGCAACTGAAGAAATTAACAACACATTATTAATTCACACACTTCTTACCAATAGATTTGGCTTTTCCAAAATGTATTTTCTTCTTGCTTTAAATGGGAGCCAAACACAACCCACCCCAACATTTTACACAGACTATATCAATGCCGTATAACTAATTAACTGTTATAATTAATCAGTCAATAACTCTATCGCCATACCACATAACTATCAGTGCAATAGAAGGTGATTCCTATTCAAATTCAGTGACCAAGCTGCACGAGATGTGCAATAATAGGAAGATTTCACAGTAACACATCAACAAAATGCACTGTGTAATATTGTCAAGTTGTAACAGATTAAACATGAAAGAACATGAAAATAAACTGAACACACTGTTAGTGCCAGATTCTTTAATTTGCCATCCCTAGTTTTCTCTCTCATAGTTTGGACTTTGAGATTATTTAGAAATATCCAAGGTAGCAGGGACACATTCAGTGGACAGAGACTAGGTGAATGAAAAATTTCATCTTAACCATCATAAAAATATTTACATTTCCAACCATATACATGTGTGCAATACGCATAAATTATGATTTGCAAACACAAGTGTGCCTATCAGTAAAGAAAATCATCATTTCAAAAACCCTCACAAGAAGGAAAGATACAAAACATTTCTGATTTTTGAATTAAAAATTTGTAAAACATTTTTATCTGAAGACTGTATACTGCTCTTAAGGACACACATCAGGATTATGCCATTATTGGTAGTCTTCTTTTCCGTATTAATCTAAACTTATCTATGACTCTATTAGCAAACTGAAAATTTAGGTGAATATCAGAAATAATCATTTAGCATGGGAACAGAGAGTAGGGTTTGTTAATATGGAGAGCTACGTAAACATTTATATGCAAAACATGGAAAATATGACCAATAAAAATCAAGGTATTCCAGGAACCTCACACACTCACACAGAGTCATCAGAATTCATTTTAATTTTGCAATGTTGTGCAGTTTGCATGTGAACCAGTATTAACTCGAGTCTGACCAAAAACTGATTACAAAAAGCACTGAAGACAAGCTGCTCACTGCTCAAAGGCAGGATGTTTATATTGAATAGGACTCAGGGATGCATGAAACTAGATGTAAAAAGTGCCTCAGTAAATTGGCTTGTCTAATCTGATAACATTACAATTGGCAACTCCACTTCATAAGCCATTCACAGTTTGTGAAGTACTTCATAGGTACATGTATAGGAAGTATGGTAAGGCACTGCAGAAATTCAAGTTTTTTTTAAATTAAGTGATCCACTAAATATTATGAACACTTTAGAAACTCAGTCTAATATGATTAATGGCCTCAGCAGACTGGAGCTGTGGGCAACGGTGGAACCATACTAGAATAGAGCTGACTCCCAAATATTTGCAGTCTGAACTGTAAATCATGAATGGTTAGTTAGAGCTGTATACTCCAGCCATCAAAGCTGAACTGCAGCTAGCAAATGTTCTATTATCTGGCAGGAAAAATAAGTCAATTGCTCATAAGGACACAGATCTGATCCCAAATGAGATTCATTCACAAATACAAAAATATATTTGAACTCTCACATGTTTGGCAGAAGGTCCAACTAATGCATGCAGTAAACCTTCTCTGTAACTGTTGGGTTTTACCGAAGCAATCAGGTCCTCATCAAACCCAGTGCATCAAGTTAGGAGGGAAAGGAGAAAGGGATTGGCTGATTACAAAATGAGATAGCTTATCACTTGACCCTGAGAGAATATAAACACCCACTGCTTGAACTTTCTACAAAACACATATAAATTGCTCTTGAACAGAGAAAACATAATGAAGGAGTAGTTCCAATTAAACAAAAATTTTTCTGCTTTATTGGGTGTGCTCCACAAAACATGATTGGATGAGACACAATATTGCCCGTTCAATATTCAATAATACTTTTGTTTTTGATGTAATGAACCCTGAGTGCTCTTAAAATACCAGGACTGTTTGTTTAAAGAGGCAGTGAGTAGACTGTGTACTTCTCAAAATTTCATTCTTAAGTCAAGGGCGTTGTTAGCAAAGTTAGTGACTTACTGCCCATCCCTAAATCTACTGAAGAAAAAGTGAACTTATTGTATGCCCAGCTGGTAAATTCCTCCACAGAACCAGCAGGGTCTCAGTTGGGACTAAAAGTTAGGCTTGTTCTGTCAAGTAAATTAAACATTAATTTATCAAGACTTTTGTATACAGCAATAGTGTCTCTAGCTACAGAGATTTTGCTAAAAACAGTTTAGATAGCAACCCCCAGTCAAATGCTATTACAAATATCACAGAATTAACATCTGTTGTGCACACAAGTGTTAACTTTACATGTCTGCACTTGCAGGGCCGTGTGGGAGTGTGCTCCTAGTGGATGAGGCACACTATTGGGAAGGATCATAAATTACACCCACCTCAGTCAGCTTTAGGTGAATTATATATATAACAGTGCAGTCACCAAGCTGAGTGAGCCCACTAATTGCAAAAGACAGCAGTAAAATTCACAATGAGGCCAATATTCAGATACATGCCCCCATTCGTAATTACAAAAATATACTGCAATCCTCACATTCATGGTGGAAGGTCCCTTCAACCAGCAAAAGCTCTACCACAGGGCTTGAACTACCAATCTATGGCATCATTACTGGTTACCAATGGCAATCTTTTCAACGCCATCTATTTCATGCTGCTATTATAAATTGCTCATGTTTACAACATTAAACTCCAGATTCACAGTACAGGGTGTCTTCCACAGTTCAAGAGGACATAGTATAGAGATTTTACACCAGGACCATAAAAGGCATTGCTGAAATCATAGGCATAACAAGTTTACAATTTATTCCATTGACAAGATGTGTTAAAATATAAGCACTCAAAGTTACTTTCACAGTTTAAAAATCTTCCATTTGATGGAAGGTTTTACAGGCTCATTACTTACGAATTTTACAGAATGAAGTCAATAATAGTTAATACAGAAGGCACCAGTGCATAATTGAGGCTGTGATCAGAACCCAAAACAAAGTAGCAACGTCACAAAAGGCTCTACCATTTTGTTCAGTTTAAAAACTGCATAGCCTGTTATTCTTTTCCAATAAGCTATGTTAAAATTTCTGAAATGTAAACCAAACATCTCCCACCACACTGCCATTTTATTTCCAGTTTACAATGTGCAATGTTATTTAGCAAAATTGCACAGAACCCAAACTTCCACTTCCAGTCGAAAATCAAAGCACCCTATCAGGTTTTGGGAACTTGGCAACTTCCCTTGGAAACAAGTCCTACCATCATTTTTAAGGAGGAGTCAGCAAAATGAGAAAAGGAGGAGTAGTTTATTAGGGCTTCTGTACAACTGTTGCATTATCAGGATAAAATGTTGCTGCTGGCACAATGCAGTAGGAGGCAAACAGCATTTGTGGCACTTTGTTATACTGGAAGGTGCAAAGTGACTGGAGGGTTCTGCACCGCCACACTGGTTGAAAACTTGTGGCTGAGGCCCCAGTTTAAGTCCAGACTAGATGTCATACGTCTCACACCTTATCCTCCACACATGTCCTAGAAACATGGAGGAGCTTCATAGCAGGTAAAACTGCAGATAGACAAGCACAATGGAACCCACACTAAGTCCAAGTAAGTTGACCAGGATAATTCCCATTTAACAAGATTGAACAGTTTCCTGAGGTTCAGTTGTAGCAGTCCTGCAATGAGATGCAGCTGTTCCAGCCTAGATATTTTTTAAAAAATGACTTTACTTTGAAGTATGGAGTTTGCCCTGGTATTCTTGCCCACCCTCCTTTTTTGAGTAACTTGTTAGGCCGTATCAGCAGGCAATTAAGTGTCAAAGACCTTCATTGGCTGTCCCTTGATTTTGAGGATGTCATCTACTCAGGATTGAGAGTTTCTGTAGTGAGTCTTCATGTGTCAGTAGACAGTGATTCTCGATCTGCAGATCTTTGGATACATGGAGTGGGACATCCCAAGAAGTAGTGGGATACAGGGTGCAAGATCTGCCACCATTTCTTCCCTTCTCTCCTGCTGCTCTACCTCATAATGAAGGTGTTTGGACACAAAGTATGATGCTATTTGATGGACAAATTATGGCTATTTTAAGCAGATGATAACCAGCTCTCCACATTTCTAATATCAATGCTGCTGCACCTCAAGGATAGCTTCAGTGTCTTTGTAACAATTTATTTATTCTCTCTTTGAACACTGGACATGAGTTGATTCTTCTGGCAGTGAAGACACGTCAGCTAATCACGTAACGTTCATGTCTATCCAACTGATTTTGGAGATTTTCCTGAATGCTTGTACAGCCAGCTTCAAGAAGGATATTAGCATTTGTTCAACAGTTCCCCCATTAAAAACGGAGGGTGGGGTGAGAGGCATTGCTGAAGGGATACAGGAGTGTGGTGACCACCGCTTTGTACATGAGGACAGTTGTTGAGTGGCAGAGGTTTTAATTGTCCAGAATAGTTGCTGCTGGAGTTTTTTTTTAGAAGGCTAATTTAGCGCAGCCTTTCAAGAGAGATGGCAACCAAGTTATGGAAAGTGTTCAACACATTCCAGAGTATCTCCTTCAACATGTATGGCAAGTGGAATACTTGGTTGTTCAGCTGTGGGTTGACGTATAAATTTTGTTTTCACAACATTCAAGGACAGGCTAAGTTTCTTGCACGCGGAACTGAAGAGATTGAAAGTGGCTAGCAAATCTGCTGCAGTGTCAACAATGGCACTGCAATCTCTGCAAAATGTAGGTCTACATATGTTACTGGTATGGAACTGGAGTCACACATATAGACCAGAGAGGATTTAAATGTCCATTTCTTTTACAGAAGGGCATTAATGAAATAGCCAGGTCTCCCCATTCTCAGTTAAAGGTGTGGACTTGCAGATGGTTTCAAAGCCTCAGCCACAACTTCACACTAACGGGCAGAAATCATTGCCATTGACACACTGAAAAGGAAGGCAGTATGGAGTTGAAGCAAGATTAAAAATTACACTGATACCAGCTACTGAATATTTATCTCTTGCTGAGGTGGTTCTGTGCCATTGATGAAGGCAGTACTGTGACATAAATAGGGTATTGTTCTAAACATGACAGAAAAACTACTTTATAACTGTTTGAGAATGAATGAATCAATCTCAGCTGAAGGCCCAAAAGAAATTTTCCTAAAAGTTAAAAAAAACTAACAAAAACGCCATTTTTTTTAGTAAAATGAAAGAAAGAATGAAGGAAAAAGTGATTGGGTACAAAAAGAAAGCTGATTTTTAGATGATCAAATTGAGGGAATATCACAGGATAAGTTCAACACATCCTGGAGAGAAACAAACAGGATTGTAAGAGAAGTGAGTGCACCTTTGCAGAGATGGCTCAGTGATGAGTAGGCAGTCAGCCAGCCAAGTTCCTCTAAGGAATCAGAAGTTGAGCCCTGAACTCATTGAGCAACCTGCTTAACTTTTATACAGTGCTTGGGACAATAGGTCTTAGATTAACATCTGACCCAATGTCAAGAGTGACATCCATTTCGTCTGTGACTTCGCAATTAAAATTTTAAAGAGTTGTAATAAAAGATATAATTGAGCTACCGTGTGCAGCAGACACCAGTTCATGCACATATCCCTGCTGGCTCTGCAGCCAAAACATTAACATCTCAAGACAGGTCACTGTTAAATGGGATAAAATAAGTGTGTGTCAATATGTTAAGACACAAAAGTAAAAAAGAAGTGGTTCCAGGTTGGATGTTTTTCTCTAAAGCAAGGGATTAACAGCTACAGCAGGTTATCAGGAAGACTGACTGCAGCCAAGACACTGAATTTCATTTAAAATAATCAGTTGGATATCGGAATGATAAGTCAGGATCCTTATATTTCTTTCTTTGGCTTGGCATTCATTGAACTTCTGTGAAGAGTCTTGGGTACTTTTTCTATATCGAACATGTCCTATATAGGCATTGGCTTTTGTTGGCTCCTTTGCTAGTGAGAAGGGCCCACACCATCTGAACCTATCTTGTCATTCCCTCAATCTCAATACAATTGTAAATCAAACTGTTCCTTCCTGCCAAGAACACTGGAAGACAGATACAGGTGCGGGCTTCACTAGCCCTTTTCCAACATGTGCAGTCAGAATGAAGGCTTGGAATGATTTTCTTTTGGTTTTTTGTTTGTCTCTACCATCACAGATGCTGCCAGACCTACCGAGTTTCACCAACACTTCCTGTTTTTATTTCAGATCTCCAATATCCATGGTATTTTGCTTTTATTTAAGCAAGAATAAGAATTTGTTCTAGCATCGTGTTGATGGTTTTCTAAAATATCTGAACATGCAGCAAGCTCTGGCCTCTCAATACTGTTAATATACAGACAATAGGACCCTGTTAAGTTGTAACTCCAAACTCCCATACCCCTCCCCCCAACCCACCACCAAGCTTTATTTGTGCAACTACTGTTTAAAGAAGTTATGGACCTGGATTTCAGCAATTTGCTACTGGCAACCCTGACTATCCAATTATCTGAATGCCGAGACCTCGCGCTACCTTCTCCAATGTGTCAACAGGGTCAAGAGAGGAGACAGCTTCACTCCTTTCGGGAGCAGCAGGATGCCCAGGTGCTGACTGGGATACATTACGGAGGACAGAATAGATTGGAGAGTGATTTCCAGAAATCTCTGAACACTGCTCACCCCTTTTGGGGGGCTCTGGGGAGTTGCACTGCGCTGGCTGAGGGGCCTTCAGCGAAGGCCTGGTTGGCAAGTTGTTAGTTTCCCGGTGCCCAGCACGCCTCAGCCGAGTGGCAATTGCGAGGTAGTCCTCCTCCTCCTTGCCTGCTTTGCCAGTTGTGGGTTTAGCAGAGATGGTCTTGCGGCGGGGTTCTGGTGCATGGAGACACGCTTCCGTCACCTTCCTTCGGGGCCCTCGCCTCTTCTCCAAGTCCTTCATGATCTGTTGAGTCAGCTCAACTGTTTCATAGCGCACCACATGTAACTGCAAATATCCATCCGCATGCTCCTTGTATCTAGACAGTTAAAGCAAAATAAATGGTGTGGGATCCATTTTCATCATCAGATCTAAAATAGTTAATCTGAAAAGGGGACGGGGGAAGATGGTAGGGTTGTGGTTGAGTGGCATAATGGTGGAAGCATTGACCTTTCACCTCTGGAACTCGGTTCAACCCAAGTGACCCGAAAGTCTTGCGGCCAGTGATATTTCTGTGGGAAATCAACAAGGCAGCCTTAATCTAGCATAGCATAAAATAGCATTCAACAGGCAAATCTCACTCAGATTTACCGGATGACCAAAACCACAGAATTGCTACAACGTAGGAGGAGGCCATTTGGCCCATCGTGCCTGCACTGACTCTCCAAATGAGCATCATAACCTCGTGCCAGTCTCCTGCTTTTTCCCCTTACCCTGGTTCACTGTTTCCAACCAAATTAACATCCAATTCCCTCTTTTATGCCTCAACTGAACCTGCTTCCATCACACTTCTAGGCAATGCATTCCATACCCAAGCTACTCAATTCTGTGAAAAAGTTTTTTCCTCATTTCACACACTGTTTTTTTGCAGATCCCTTTAAATCTATGCCCTCTTGTTCCTTTTATGAGCAGGAACAGTTTCTCCTTAACTGCCCTTTCCCAACTGCTCACAATTTTGAAAACATCTATCAGTTCTCCACTTAGCCTTTCACTTTCCAAAAACAGTCCAAATTCTTCAATCAATCCTCCTAATTGAAGTTCCTTCTCCCTGGAACCATTCTTGTAAATTGCTTCTGCACTCCGTCCAATACGTTTCAATCCTTCCAATAATGAGGTACCCAGGACTGCACACAAGATAAGCTTTATACAATTTCAACATGATCTTCTTGTTCCTGTGCTCAATGACCCTATTAATAGAGCCAAGGATACTCTCATCTTTATTTAATGCTCTCTCGCTATGTCCATCCATTTTCAATATCTGTGTACATATACACCCAGATCCCTCTGCTCCTGCATCCCTCTTTGGAACTGTATCCTATCTTACATTGTCTTTCAATGTTTTTCATACCAAAATGCATCACCTAACATTTCCTTACATTGAAACAAATCAGCCACTCTATCTGCCCATTCCCCCAGTTTATCTTTGTACTTCCAGAATTCTACACTGTTCTCCTCACAATTTACAATTCTTCCAATATTTATGACATCTACAACCTTTGAAATTGTCTCTCGCACACAATGGAACAAAGTGGAACAGCACTAACATTCTTCACTTTATCGGAACACAAAGCTCAAAAGGGAAATCCAAACTGTGGGGAAAAATTAAGTTGTCACCGTTATACTCGCCTGAAACTGAACAGAAGTTGCCCATCTCATTCACAAGGAATCCTGAACAAAGAATTTTTATCCACCTGGATCTGAATCAGGTAACAAAGGTGAAAGTTCACAGTTTAAACCATAGCACCACCCAAGCTACAATGTGAAAGACTTTTTTTTAAAATTTCTTTATGTGGGAGACTTTTCAAATTGAGAAGTTAAGCTCTTTTCACTTTAATCATTTACTGCAGCTGTATAGACAGGTGTAAAGTGAGCGTCCCATTATTCTGCCCCAACATGTGTTGGCCATTATTGAATTACACAACTAAAAAGCATTAACAATGTGACTTCCTGCCAGACAAGACTTTAGCAAACAATTTTTAGGTGGTTTATAGTTGATGGGATTAAGGGACCTCTATAGTGACAAGTTTACAATCCTGAAGACATTTTTCTTCTGAAAGCTGACTTTATATGTTTGAATAAGAAAGCAACATAAATCCTGCTTACGGTTAGAGACAAAAAAAAATTGCAGATGCTGGAATCCAAGGTAGACGAACAGGAGGCTAGAAGAACACAGCAGACCAGGCAGCATCTGGAGGAAAGTAGCAGTCAACGTTTCGGAAGAAAGGTTATACCTGAAACATTGACTTCTCCTTTCGTCCAGAGGCAGCCAGCGCTGCTGTGTTCTTCCAGCCGCCTGTTTGTCTACCATAAATCCTGCTTATGTCTGGCAATGCTCGATGAAGAGCTACTGTGCCTGCCTACAGGCCAGTCCATCCACTTGAACCCCCTTTATATTGCTTTATATACGGCTTTTAAGATAATTCCCCGTTTGCCATCCCATATCGTAGTTTATACAACTGGGATTTAAGTTTCTCATTTCCATAACTGGATCCCCTCTACACTTGGAATATTAACGTTCCACTGTCAACTGGATATATCTTGACCAAAAAATTAACTAAAGTGGACTGAATGGCCAACCTCATTTCTATTTAAGGTGGGATCTCATACCTCTTTTAACTTGCAATAAAACAAATTGGCCCCATCTATTTTTCAAAGAAGCACTACAAAATCAATGGTGTGGCTTGCTGCTGACAGTTCTCCTGTCTCTGAATTGGAAGGTTCCAATCCCACTACATACTAGGTTCATATTATGTGTGGCGTCAGCATTTTACTGGACTCAATGCCAGGATTGTAACAGATGTAAAATTTATCTAGGATGTAGAAAGCAGAAGGGCAAGTTATGGAGGACCTATGTTTATGGGGGTTAAAGTTCGAAACCAGAGCTAAGAACCTTCACCAGAACGCTCAACCAAAGATTAAATCTAACTTTCTTCTTTCAGATGATATCTATCCACTGTGAATGTACACATGTACATACACATTGACTGCATTCTAGCAGTGACTCTTCTTGAATCATTGTTGATGCAGAAGGAAACAAAACATTTTAGTTCTGCACCCAAAGGTTAGATACAGATCACTGGAATGAATGGCATCAGCAATTGTTGGTTTAAGGCAACACCCTTTCGCCCTGGACAAATGATATTATCCTACCTGAATCGTGCATGTCCAGAAGGCCACTTCAGCTGGTGCATCTTACGTAGGTGCATTGTTAGTGTGTAGGCCCAAGAAAAACATTTGGCACAAATGTGGCACTTGTATCGAGGCTTTGTTTCTCCCTGAATAAGACAGAGACATCAGTGGCCTATTACGTTGTTAACTTGAAAATGTTTTGAAGAAGTACATTTTTTCCTTTACAAATTTAGGGCTATTATATAAACTCTTTAGTGGTCACTGTCCTCCTGAGAGCTATTCTTCTGTAACATGGTAGCCAGGCAATAGGGAAAAGCCATTCTGAAAAATCCATTTATTACTCAGTAGTTCAACAACATGTTTCTGAACTCACCAACACAAACTGTCCAGTTGCTCGTAAGTAGCAAAATCATAAGATGCTATAATTCTGTCCACGGGTTTGACATGATGCCAAGGAAAGTGCATACAAATCTCTATGACAGAAACTGACCGAGATTCAAATATAAAACAAAAACGGCCATACAGTCATAATACACAGGAGATTGACCTTTTACCTATTAAATCCATGCCAAATCCTGTAGCACAATCTATTCAGTCCCCTAGCTCTCCAAGTTTATTTCCATCAAGCATCCATCCTTTTAAAAATCAACTCCACTTTTATCCACCACTTTCATCAGCAGCCAGTTTCAGGTCTTTATCATTCATTGTGTAAAAAAAATCTGCAAGTTGCCTTGAAATAGCCTGCCCAAAACTTTAAATCCGTGTCCCTTAGTCTTTCAGTCTCTCGGTAGCCTGTGGCGATCTCTCGGCCCGGCATGACAATATCTCAATGTGCGCGCGGGTCCTAATCAGGCATGTTCCGGAAGCAGCAGGGCGAGGTCAGGGAGCTGGCAGCTTCAGCACCAGCAGCAATGATGGCATCGCGGCCCAATGTGGATACAGCGAAAGGTGAGGGAGGCTCCTGGTATCTACAGAGGCGGCATCGAGAACACGCAGACGAGGTCTCCCAGACAGCAAGGTAAGCAGAGGACGCATCAAAGACTGTTGAAATTCTAACTTTATTCCTTTTTTTTTCTAGTCTATACTAAGAACAACTTCAATGTTAACTACAACCTTGTTTCTCTATTTTTCTAAATATTCTTTGAAGGTAATGCTTAACATTTTTAACTTTGTTTCTTTTACTACTTTGTACCTAAGTTTTTTGTACCTCTCGCTCTTTCCACATTGGGCCGTGATGCCATCATTGCTGCTGGTGCTGCTGAAGCTGCCACCTCCCTTTGTACTTAAGATGGCATGTGCTGACATTATACACTTTTCATTGTACTCCTGTGCTTGAGTACACATGACAATAAAATCTAAATCAAATGTGAACAACATTACTTTGCCTACCTTATCTAAAACCTGTCATACTGTTGAACACTGCTATCAGATCTCCTTTTTCTCAATATGTCCTGTCACCTTCAAAGATCTGTGCAAATAAACCCCCAGGTTTTTCTATCCCCACCCTCTTTAAAACTGCGCCAATAAGTCCCTATTTCCTCTCCAATCCCTTCTGCCAAAATGCATCACTTCACAATTCTCTCTGTTAAGTTCCATCTGCCACTTGTCTGATAATATTGTTAGCATTTTCACGTGCTGTTGCAGTCGACTGGTTTCATTCTCACTGTTTGCCACATATTTAAGTTAGGCAAAATTAACAAATTTTGACTCTGTATTCCAGTTTCCAAGGGATAATGAAGAACCATAGATAGACTAAATAAAAGGAACAACTGAAAAGGGAAAGCTAAGAGGAAGGAAAGAGTTCCATGCCACTGACCCGAAGTTAGTTCAAAGTATGGTCTCTGAGGTAAAAGTATATGAAATCCTGCATAGACCAGTTGTCACTTGGACACCTACCTCATGTATTCTCCTGTAGTGCTGTTTCAGGGTTTGCACACTGCGGGCACTAAAGTTACAGCCATCTGAGCTGCAGCGGTATGTAGGTTCATCATTATGCGTTTCGATGTGCTTTCGCAGATCGTACAAATTCTTAAAACTGTAAGTGAGTGACAAAAAGAAACAACTTTTAAATAGGAAAACTTTAAGAAACGGCCACTGGGCTCGGCAAGCCTGTCTGGATGGCCGGTTCGCAATGAAAAGTAATGCCAAGTGCGTGTGTTCAGTTCTCGCACTGGCTGAGGTTACCATGAAGGACCTCCTTCTCAAACTCTCCTCTTGCCTTGAGTGTGGTGACCCTCAGGTTAAACCATCACCAATCATCTCTCTCTGTCATGAAAAAGCAGCCCTATGGTCCGGTAGGACAATGGTAACTTTATCCTTTTAACCTGGCCAACTCATCTTTGACCTCACCTATGAAATCACATGATCTGACACTTCAATCTGGAAACCTGAAAATCAGAGACTTTTATTTTCTGCTTGTTCATGGGATGTGATCCTCACTGGCAATGCCAGCACTTATGGCCAAACCATAATTGTACATCAGATGGTGGCAGTAAGCCATGCCATGCTATGCCATGTTGGTACACCCACAGTTCAGTTAGGTAGCATGTGGCATTTAGATAGCCCTGGTATTGTTGTATGGTGTCCATGAATTAATTCAAACTTACAAGAATGAAAAACAAACATAAAACAGGAGTATGCTAATTTCACAGAACACAAAGGAGATGAGATGAGAAATTTCAGAGGGTGCTGAACCCATGTAATTCTTTACTACAGAAGGCTGTGAAGGAGAAGTCACTGAAATATTTAAGAAAGAAATAGGTTTACAGATGGTAAAGGTGTCAAGGGGTTAGGGAGGCAGCTTGAGAATGGTGTTGGAACAGAGGATCAGCCATAACCATGTTGAATGGCAAAGTGGTCTCAATGAGCCAAAAGGCCTACTCTTGCTAAATAAAAACCAAAAGAACTGCAGATGTGGTAAATCAGAAACAAAAATAGAAATTGGTGAAACAGACCCTGTTCTGAGGAAGAGTCACTTAACCCGAAATGTTAACTTTGATTTCGTGCCACGGATGGTGCTAGACCTGCTGAGCTTTTCCAGCTACTTCCGTTTTTGTTTTTGGCCTACTCACTTCTATTTTCTATGTTTCTAAATTTTTTTATGTTAACATGTCAATTAAGATGAAAGGAGAATTCTTTTGGAAACTGTTGCTCTGCCTCAAAACAAACACAATGATTACCTCATCAAATAACGATTCTGATCCATTCCCACGGTTCTCTGATCTTAATGACTAAGTCACCGCTAAACTATCTTCTGTCAACCTGGTCCAGGGAATTGCTCACTATACGGATTCACATTAAGAAGATCAATGAAAACATGAAACAAAACTAAATGGAGCAGAGAACCAGTAATTTCTGTGGCTTTGGGCAACTCCATATTCTGTTAAACATCCGAATGCAGTGCAACAATTTAATTCCCTATGCCCTGATGTTACATTCTGATATCGTCTCAAACAAGTCACAGCTTGCTATACTGCACATGCTTCAACAATGCATATGTAAGCTGATCAAATTTAATAGACTAAAAATCTCTCTCAATTGTGCCAGGACTGCTACGTTGACCTGATTCTGAACAGCTCTAATCAGATGGAGGTACAAGACTGCTCCATGCCTGTTCTCACTACCCAGCAATGAGCAACTAGGCCAGGACAACTTTCAGTCAGTCAAAGTGATTTTCACGAAATACATAGCCCTGGTGCTTTTGAGTCAAAGAAATCAGACAGGTCTAAGGTTTTGCTTCTATCTGTGTTAGCCTGCCTGGTCTGAGACAAGGAAGTACTGGATACATAACCACTGTCTCAAGATCAAGGGAATGAGCAGTAGGAAAAACAGACACAAATTCAGCCTGGTGGCAGATAATTAAGCACGATTAAAAAGATTCATGCAGGGGGTCACAGGGCACAATTCTGGGACACAATACCACATTTAAAGATTTGGGAAAATGAATGGGAGGTTGGGGATGGCCAGTAACTTCGAAGGACAAAAGGGTCAAGGCTGAGTTTGCAAAACAGGTGATGAGGTGCAGTCTTTGAGAGTAGTAGTAGTTGAGGAGAGAGATTTTACAATGTCAGCTAAGATGAGGGTGCCAGGGACCAAAGTTTTTGTACTCAGCATTTGAGTGGGACTGGGTCAAAGGAACGGACAGCTGAATCTTTAGTCCAGCCCACTGCCCAGAAGTCTGAATGGCCAGCATGGTCTGAGGTTGCCACCCAGCTGAAGAGTCTCAGCCATCTGGAGGAATGCCCAGCACAGTAGGGAGAAAATCAATGCCTTCTCCACCAGCATCTTTTCTGCATTACCTTATACTCATTCTCTCTCTCCTACTGCACTCATCACCCACCAAGGATTTACCACTCTCACTAATGTATGCAACATCTTCTCCACCCACCTTTACTCACATCAACCTACAACATCATTAATCCTGCATACCATCTGCGAGGCCTACTTCATTGCTTGGGAAACCTCCCCACCTGCACCAACTGTAATAGCTATGCCATCCACTTGCATCTTTGTAATACCTGCCTCTCTCTCATTCCAGGAGCAAAACAGCCCATAACAGGTGAGAAAGAGTCAAGACAGGTGATCATTCAACTGCCCATCATTCAACTTCTTTATGAGCAGAGGATCCTTACTCTCTGAGTAAGCAACTCGTGGTGAGTTTGGCTGTTAACAAGATGCTGAAAAAGTAAGTTCGAGAGTCAGTTGGGAACTCACCACTGCCTAGTGAGATTCTCACTGCATCACTTCAGAAAAACGTACAAACTACAGCGAAATGATCCTGACGTTGAGTTGTGGAGGGGTGTTTTTCTAACTCGAGGTTTGCGACCAGTAGTGTTCCAAAAGGATCAGTGCCGGGACCTCTGTTGTTTGTAATATATATAAATGATTTGGATGAAAATGTAGCTAGTCTGATTAATAAGTCTGCAGATGACACGAAAATTGTAGCGTTATCAAAGGATACATCAGGATATAGATCAGTTGGAAAGTTGGGTGGAAAAATGGCTGATGGAGTTTAATCTGGACAAGTGAGAGTGATACATTTTGGGAGGTCAAATGCAACAGGAAAGTGTACAGTAAATGGCAGGATCCTGAGGAACACTGATATACAGAGGGATCTTGGAGTACAAGTCCATATCTCCTTGAAAGTGGCAACACAAGTGGATAAGGTAATAAAGAAGGCATAGGCATGATTGGCTTCATTAGTTAGGCATTGAGTTTAAAAGTCGGCAAGTTATGTTGCAGCTGTAAAAGACTTTAGTTAGGCTACATCTAGAGTACTGTGTGGAGTTCTGGTCACCATACCATAGGAAGGGCATGAGAGGGTGCAAAAGACATTTACCAGGATGTTACAAAAACAGAAATTATTGGAGAAACTCAGCCGGTCTGGTAGCATTTGTGGAGTGAAAGCAGATGTAGTGCTTCCAGTCCACTGACCATTCTTCAGAACTGGACTGTAACGTTATCTCTGCTTTCTCTCTACAGATGCTGCCAGACCTGCTGAGTTCCTTTAGCAATTTCTGTTTATGTTTTGAATTCCAGCATCTGCAGATCTTTGTTTACCAGGAAGTTGTCTGAACCAGACCGTATTAGCTATAAGGAGAGGTCAGACAAACGTGGATTGTTTTTGCTACAGCATCGGGGGCTGAGGGGCAATCTGATAGAATTATATAAAATTATGAGACATGGATAAGTTGGAGTCTTTATCCCAGGGGCAAATGCCAAATACTGGGAGGCATAGGTTTAAGGTGAGATAGGAAAAGTTTAAAAGAGACCTGTGAGTCAAGTTTTGTTTTACACAGAGGGTGGCAGGTGCCTGGAACACACTGCCAGGGGAGATAGTAGAAGCAGATACAGTAGCAATGTTTAACAAGCGTTTAGACAGACACATGAACAGGCAGGGAATAGATGGACACAGGCCATATGCAGGCATATGGGCTTAGTTTAGAATGGCATCACGGTTGGCACAGACATGGTCGGCCAAACAGCTTGTTCCTATGCTGTTCTACGGGCCTTGATGAACATCTTGCCCAATTCAACTCTATATCTCGCCATAGCTCGTGTCGCTCATGTTTGCCAAGATTACTGGATCAGCAATGTACAGTGTAGTAGCAACTTGACTAACAACTACAACACTTACGTGTTCTCACAGAAGTCACACGCATATGGCCTCTCGTCACAGTGGCGGAATTTGATATGTGTCCTTAATGAGGAGAAAGTAGTGCAGGTCATGTCGCAGAGTGGGCACTTAAACTGGTTCACTGACAACAGAAGCACAAATTAATCTGTTAAAAAATTTGTTGTTCCTAGATATAAATTGTTTTGGGAAAAAAATTTATTCTGCCCCTCTTCTCTATACTTGTTTTCCCTCTTAAATTTACCCTCTCTCCATCCGTCCTATGACTTGGAAGAGTCTAGATTCTAATCCATTTCTAAATATGAGATGATGCACCTGGAATTCTGTAGAGGTGGGTGGAATAGTACAAGTTAAAGATGGCAGGAGGAAACCCACTATTCTGCGGTGCAAGCTCCACCTGCTTTAAGAATACGCTCTGTTCCTAATAAACAGGTCGTTTTTTGAGTTCACTGAAGAAATCTGGTAGATGTATATTTTACAGTCTGGCAGACAAGGACAACATTTTGCAATTAAAACATGTCCTGTGCCCCTCACACCATTGAAGGATAGAATTCAATAACCATATCATTGGCCCTTGCAACCATTAGACCCTTAGAAAGCTGCATTTGTGCACTGAGTAAAGTTCTTTTACAAATGCATCAATTCCAAATTTAATTACAGCTCCAAATAATAATTAGTTCAAAACTTTAAACAATTACAGTGCACCTCATGGTCAACAGAGGTGCCAGTGTCTCTGTACTAACAGCACTGAGCGAGCAATGGCATACGGTAAGCAAAAGCAGAGGGAGCCTACTATTCTCTGATATCAAAAACCAAAACTTACAAGGTAATGGTCTGGACAACACTCCATTACAGTAAGGAGGGAGTGTCACACAGCGTGTGGTGCTGTCCTTCGGACTAGATTACCTTTGCCCTTCAAAAGAGGATACAAAATGCCATGGCATTACGCAGAGAAGTGCTTGAGCATGTTCTCCCCAAAGTCGTCGCCAATATTTATCCCTCACCTAACATCAGTAAAAACAGATGATCTGCTCATAATGACTTTTTTTGAGAGACCTTGCTCTGGACAAAATAACTGCTGCATTTTCTACCTGGTTGCAAAGCATCCGAAAGGTATGAAGACGGTATGTAATTGCAAGTCTTTCTTTTGCTTTGGCAGCTCTGAATTCTGCACAGCAGAAGAAGTTTTCAGTCAATCTGGTCCATGGGAAATAACTGGCATGGGGCACTACTCAGAGAGCATCATGAGTGAAGAGCTAAATTGGAAAGCAGGACTCCAAGGGTTATTCTCTATGGATTATTACTTGAGTCACAAATAAATTGACATGGAGATAAGCAGATCAATGAGGTGCACACACAGCTGAACAAGTGATGTGTGAAAGATGAATCTGATTTCACAGTACATTGGAAATGGGACAGGACGGAATGGATTCACCTGAATAAGGCTAGTACACTGATCCTGGCTAAGAGAAAGGACTAAGACTTTAAATTAGAAGTAATAACTCTAAAACACATGAAGAAAAAGACAACAGAATTTTAAAAAAATGTGCTTTAAGCAACACAAGAAAAAATAAAAGTGTAAACTAATTTGAATTTGTCCTGCTTTGCGGGCAGAAGACATACCTGAGCAACTGTACCACATTGCCTAACAGATGCCAGTGCTGTTGTTGTAGTGGAATAATTTGTTCCAGCACTCTAGACACTACTCCCTTTCTAACTTTGTCCCAGTGTTTGTCTGTGCTCAATATCACATCGTTATTATTTTTCTCAGGGTTAGCAAGTGTTGGGATTACATATCAATGTTAAGAAAAGTATAAAGGGAGTTAGAGGAGACGGAATTATTTGGACACTTTTCTGGATTGAATGAGATCATGTGATTTCCTGGAATTGTGTTCAGCAGTCTGTGAGCTGCCATTCAACTGCTAATGATGGAAGTCAAAAGTTTAATTTGCACTGTTTTTCTGGAAATCAAATGACTTTGCAGTAGCAGTGCATGTGTACACGTGGGATTAAGGGGATATAGTTTTAGTTCTGGATCACAGCTATGTATTAATCAGTAGTTGCCACTTGCTTTAAGGATAATTCTGTTCCTAGTAAACAGATTGTTTTTTGAGTTCATTGAAGAAATCTGGTAGATGTTTATTTTACAGTCTGGCAGACAAGGACAACATTTTGCAATTAAAACATGACCTGTGCCCCTCACACCACTGAAGGATAGAATTCAATAACCATATCATTGGCCCTTGCAACCTTTAGCAAATGCACTGATGCATCCTACCGTGATTTCGTACATGGTCCCTTAGCAGCCTCTCATTGGCGAACTGCTTGTCACAGTGCTGACAGGGAAAGGTCTTCTCTAAAATTAAACAAATGTTAATTATAATTAAATATGTTCTGTAAACCAGTGTAGAGTTCAGAGATCAGTTCAAATTTTTAGTACTTTTGTGAGTGGCTGTCTCTTCATCCAAATGGAAATAATATACCATATCAGCAAACTGCACTTTTGTTTAATTTCACTTTCTTACACATACCAGCAATCTTTAGACAGTCCCCTTGCAATACAATAAAAAAAATTAAGACTGGGTATTGGCTGGGACGCAAGAGATGTGGGGAGATGGAAGTAAAGTGAAACTACAGCAAAAGATTTGTTGTCCAGTTTAACACAAGAATGATATTCATTAGCTGGGAGCTAGAAAAGAAATTTGAACATAGATTCACAGATCATTCATACTATTGAACCGTGCTCCACTCAATCACAGCCCTACTCCAACAGTGTGAAAGGTAAGAGCAACCTAACAGCAAGTTTACCATTCTTGAGCCAGACCAGAAGCAACTGGTCATGGAAACAGGAGGTGTGAGCAGTTGCGTTAAACAGACAATTTTTCCAAGTAGAGATAACAAGGTGCAGAGCTGGATGAACACAGCAGGCCAAGCAGCATCAGAGGAGCAGGAAAGCTGATGTTTCGGGTCTGGACCCTTCTTCAGAAATGGGGGAGGGGAAGAGGATTCTGAAATAAATAGAGAGAGAGGGGGAGGTGGATGGAAGATGGATAAAGGAGCAGATAGGTGGAGAGGAGACAGACAGGTCAAAGAGGCAGGGGTGCAGCCCTGAATTTTTCCAAGTATTTCAGTTCTCTACAGTCTAGTGAAGCAAAAGAAGGGCCTGAACACACTGAGCGGTGTACTTTGAGGTAGTTGAAGCTCATCAACCAGATGTCCCCTTTTAATTAATGGGTCCATGTGGATAACAGACATCCAGTGATGACATGATCTGTGATGCCATGACTGGATAATTTTCAACACTCACTAACCAAACGCACAAAGATAGGCAACAGACAGCATCATTGATATCGCAGGAGTTGTACATCAACATTCATTGCAATGATCTCTGCAGTGAGATTTATGTTGAGCTGTGGCTGCAATCTTTAAAAGAAGATCAAGGCATTGAAAACTATTTTCTCATTAAATTTAGTCATGGGATAAGGTCAACCCAGACTAGGCTAGCATTACCTAGTCCATCCCTAATTGCCCGAAAGATGGTGGTGGTGGTGAGCTGCCTTCTTGAACCACTGCGGTCCATATTGCGTGGGTATGCACACAATACTTTAGGAAAACAATTCCAAGGTTTGATCCAGTAACATTGGAAAAACAAGTGATATAGCTCCAAGTCAGGCAGAGGTATGGCTTGGAGGGCAGCTTGTGTTCTGTCGGCTGTGCAGTCTGCGTTCTTCTGGATGGTAGAGTCACAGATTCAAAAAGTGCTGATGCTGTCAAAGAACCCTTGACAAATTACTACAATGTATCCTAATATGATACATACTGCTATCACTGTGCATTATTGACAGGTATAGGCACTGAGATTAGGTGCAGATCAATTCGATAGCTCTATCCTGTATGCTGATTTTTTTACTGCTGTTGGAACTGCATTCATCTAAGTAAATGAAGGATATTCCACCAAATTCCTGACTTACATGGTCCCTCCGTAGCTCAATACGCCGCAACTGGAGTACTGCATGCACAGAATAGGAAGGATGTAACTGCACTACAGAGGGTGTAGAGGAGATTTACCAGGATGCTGTCTGGGTTAGAAGGTCTGAACAATGAGGAAAGAGGAATTGGCTAGGTTTGTTTTTCTTAGAGCAACAAAGGTTAAGAAAGGATCTAATAGAGGTGTATACAATTGAGGGACACAAGTAGGATGGAAGGCACTTTTTCCATTAGCTGAGATGTCAATAACGTGGGGACATAGATTAAAGGTATGAGATAGAATGCTAACAGCAGAGTTGACATGAACGATTTTCACCCAGCGCATGGATGGGAGTCTGGAACTCATTGTTTGGGGGATGGTTGAGTCAGAAAAATCTTGTAAGAATTAAACACTATTTAGGTATTCACTTGCTTTGCCAAAGTCTCCACAGCTATGGGCCAAGAGCTGCAAAAGTGAATTAGTGTAGGGACAGATATGATGGGTCAAATAATCTACTCCTGTGGTGTAACCATCTAAGAGACTCATGCCTTTTGGATGCTGGACAGGGAGAGTTACATGCTTTAGAATTATCAGCCTCTGATGTGCACTTATAATGACTGTATTTATATGGCTGGTCCACTTAAGAGTTCAGTTTCTGTTCATTGGTAACCCTTCCGGGGTAATAAGGGATTCAGCAATGGTGAAGCCCTTGAATGTCAAGAGACATTTGCTCTCCCATTGGAGATTGTTGTCATATGACATAAAAAGCAATAATGACAGTAACAGGCATTAAATTAATAAATATGTGATTCAAATTCAGCCCTAACGAAAGAAACAAATATGGGAGAACCGTTCAGCATAATCAATGTTTACAAATCAAAAGTCAGAATAACTTGGAAAATTTATTTGGTGCAAAACCAGAACAGCTTGGGAGCAGGAGACTGTATTTTAAAAGTTTAGATATACTTTGATGAAGTTGTGTACGTATTGCAGTTTCCTATGGAACAGACTGCCTTGTGGTGCTGTAAATGTGTATTCCAGTATTTAATGTTAATGTATTCTTGATGAAACAGGTTTTGGAGTGCAGGAGTGAGAAGAATTTCGACAATAAGGAGTAGGAACTATAAAATTTTCAGGACTTGAAATTTCAGCAATTTGCCAACAACAAAAAATTAAGGCACCTGCCCACAGGCTGATAGAGTAAGAGGAAATAGACTGGGGATGAGTTTCAAGAGAACCACAAACGCCTGCATAGACTAGTTAGACTGAATTCCCATTTCTGCACAATGCCATAGATATATGGCTGGGAAGGCATTGCTTTTGTGGCTAGGAGTCAACATTATGGTTAACAGGGAAGTACAGAGTCAAAGGTTTCTGAAAGTATTAAATGATAACATAGTTGGATTGAATGACAATGATATTTTTAAGATCCTTGCCTAAAGATCCAAGTCCTGATTTTGGAAAGACATGGTCATTTTTCACATCAGCATCAATGCTTATCATCAGAGCATATTTAATTTGCAAACCTGAATTAATTACAATGGTTATGGAACATCACCTTTATCACTTCAACTGCCACTGCCCAGACTGGCACACAAATGTCTAGACTGGTATAGTACAAGGAAGTGCTATATTTTTGCAAATGCTATCTATTAATGAGACATAAAATAAATGCCTATTGGCCTCTCAGGTGGACATGAAAGATCACAACACACTTTTTTGAAGGAGAGCGGGAGTTACCCTAATAAAACAGAAGTTGTTGGAGAAGCTCAACAGGTTTGGCGGTATCTGTGGAGAGAAAGCAGTCGACATTTTGGGTCCTGTGACCCTGCTGAGTTTCTCCAACAATTTCTATTTTTGTTTCAGATGTCCAGCATCCATAGTTCTTTGTTTTTGGTTTAGTGTTTAACTCACTGCAACATCTCTTCCAGGTATGCCCACCTTGAAGAAGTTCTGTTCCTCTCTCCGACAGGATTTTGATCTGGTGATTTGCCCCACACAGCTTCCAAGCTCACAATCCCCCAAGCCCATACAGCCTGCTTCTACCTTCTTCCTAAAATCCACACAGGCTTCCATGTCCCTTACCCAACCCCACACCCAGGCCTTCTCATTACATGGGCTGTTTTCATCGCAGCCATGCCATTTTCATCCACTAATGATCTGCATTAGCAGCTCTTCTTTCTTTCTGGCTCACAATTATCCATTCTTTTGACTGTTTGCTGTTCTATCTCTCTGGACTCTATCTCCACCTATCGTTTACTCTGCCCCTTCCCCACCCCTCCCCTTTTTAGCATATATACCACCTTTTACTAGCTACAATCAGTTCTCAAAAAGGGTCACTGGACCCGAAACATTGACTCTGCTTTCTCTCCATTGATGCTGCCAGACCTGCTGAGTTTCTTCAGCAATTTCTGTTTATGTTTTAGATTTCCAGCTTCCAGAGTTCTTTGCTTTTCTTTTTGGCTAGGGAGTTATCACAATTAGCACTAGCCAATATTTATTCCTCAATCAATATTATAGCACCGAATACAAAATTACTTAATTGGCTATAAAAGTGTTTCAGAACATCTTCATTTTGGGGAAGATGCTATATGAATGCAAGTCTTTCTTTCTGTTATACATGTGATTATAATGTAGGAAATGCAATATGGGTACAGAGAGATCTTACACCCAGCAATGAGATAACAACCTGATTTTTGTTTTAGTTTACAGACCGAAGTGAGAATTTCCTGCTCTTCTTTGAATCAGTGCTGTGCAATCTTTTACCTTCACTCATTACAATGGGGGCAACACTTACAGTCATAGAGATCATAGAGATATACAGCTCGTCCATGCCGACCAGATATCCTAAGTAATTACAGTCCTATTTGACAGATTTTGGCCCATAAACCCTTCCTATTCATATACCCATCCAGATGCCTTTTAAATGTTGAAATTGTACCAGCCTCCACCACTTCCTCTGGCAGCTCGTTCCACACACGCACCATCCTCTGCTGAAAAAGTTGCCCCTTAGGTTCCTCTTAAATCTTTCCCCTCTCACCTTAAATCTATGCCCTCCAGTTTTGGACTCCCCCACCTCAGGGAAAAGACCTTGTCTATTTACTCTATCCACGCCTCTCATGATTTTATAAACCTCTATAAGGTCACCACTCAGCCTCTGACGCTCCAAGAAAATAGCCCCAGTCTATTCAGCCTCTCCTTATAGCTCAAATCCTTCGATTCTGGCAACATCTTTGTGAATCTTTTCTGAACCCTTTCAAGTTTCACAACATCCTTCCTACAGTAGGGAGACCAGAATTGCAAGCAGTATTCCAATAGTGGCCTAACCAATGCCCTGTACAGCCGCAACATGACCTCCCAACTCCTTACTCAACATAGATCAATAATGATCTATATTGAGTATAAAGAATAAATAAATATACTCAAAAGTTCTATAAAAGCAAGCATACCAAACACCACCTTCATGATCCTATCTACCTGTGACTCCACTTTCAAGGAACTTTGAACTTGCACTCCAAGGTCTCTTTGTGCAGGAACACTCCCCAGGACCTTAGCATTAAATGTATAAGTTCTACCCTGATTTGTCTTTCTAAAATGCAGCACCTCACATTTATCTAAACTAACTCCATGTACCACTCCTCGGCCTATTGGCCCATCTGATCAAGATCCCGTTGTACTTAAAGGTAACATTCTTCACTGTCCTCTACACCTCCAATTGTCATCCGCAAACTTACTAACCATACCTCACATCCAAATTGTTTATATAAATGATGAAAAGCAGTGGACCCAGCGCTGGTCCTTGTGGCACACCGCTGGTCACAGGCCTCCAGTCTGAAAAGCAACCCTTCACCACCACCCTCTGTTTTCTACCTTCAGTTCTGTATGCAAATAGCTTGCTCACCCTCTATTCCGTGTGATCTAACCTTGCTGACGAGTCTACCATGAGGAACCTTGTCGAAAGAGTTGCTGAAATCCATACAGATCACGTCCACTGCTGTGCCCTGATCAATCCTCTTTGTTACTTCTTCTAAAAACCCAATCAAGCTAGTGGGATACGATTTCCCATGCACAAAGCCATGTTGACTATCCCCAATCAGTCCTTGCCTTTCCAAATAAATGTAAATCTTGTCCCTAAGAATCTCCTCCAACAACTTGCCCACCACTCATGTCAGGCTCACCGTTCTATAGTTCCCTGGTTTTTCCTATGGCCTTTCTTAAATAGTGGCACCACATTAGCCAGCCTCCAGTCTTCCGGCACTTCACCTGCGGCTATCAATGATACAAATATCTCAACAACAGGCTCAGCAATCACTTCCCTAGCTTCGCGCAGAGTTCTAGGGTACACATGAGCTCCTGGGGATTTATCCACCTTTATGCATTTTAAGGAGTCCAGCACCACCTCTTCTGTAATGTGGACATTTTTCAAGATGTCGCTATTTATTTCCCCACATTCTCTATCTTCCATATCCTTCTCCACAGTGCTGATGCAAAATACTCAATTAAAACCTCCCCATCTCCTGCAGTTCCACACATAAGCGGCCTTGCTGATCTTTATAGGGCCCTATTCTCTCCCATGTTACCCTTTTGTCCTTAATGCATTTGTAGAATCTCTTCGGATTCCCTTTAACCCTATTTGCCAAAGCTATCTCATGTCCCCTTTTTGCCCTCCTGATTTTCCTCTTAATATACGCCTCCTGCCTTTATACTTGTCTAAGGATTCACTCAATCTCTGCTGTTTATACCAGAAATATGTTTCCTTCTTGTTCTTTACCAAAACCTCAATTTCCTAGTCATCTAGCATTCCCTACACCTACCGGCCTTGCCCTTCACCCTAACGGGAACATATTTTCTCTGGACTCTTGTTATCTCATTTTTGAAGGCCTTCCCTTTACCGGCGAACATCTGCCCCAGATCAACTTTTGAAAGTTCTTGCCTAATCTGTCAAAATTGGCCTTCCTCCAATTTAGAACGTGAACATTTAGATCTGGTCTATCCTTCTCCTTCACTTTTAAAACGAATAGAATTATGGTCACTGGCCCCAAAGTGTTCCCCCATGACACTTCAGTCACCTGCCCTGACTTATTTCCTAAGAGGAGGTCAAGTTTTGCACCTTCTCTCATAGATACATCCACATACTGAATCAAAAAGGTCCTTGTACACACATAACAAATTCTTCTTCATCCAAGCCCTTAAAACTATGCCAGTCCCAGTCTATGTTTAGAAAGTTAAAACCCTCTAATATAACCACCCTATTATTCTTACAAATAACTGAGATCTCCTTACAACTTTGTTTCTCAATTTCCCGCTGACAATTGGGGATTCTACGGTACAATCCCAATAAGGTGATCATCCCTTTCTTATTTTTCAGTTCCACCCAAATAACTTCCCTGGATGTATTCCTAGGAATGTCCTCCCTAAGTACAGCCATAATGTTATCCCTAATCAAAAGCACCACTCCCCTTCCTCTCTTGTCCCCCTTTCTATCCTTCCTATAGCATCTATACCCTGGAATATTAAGCCACGTCTTTGTAATTGCTATGATATCCCAGTCCCATGTCCCCATTCATGCCCTGAGTTCATCTGCCTTACCTGTTAGGCCTCTTGCATTGAAATAAATGCAGTTTAATTTATCAGTTCTACCCCTCATTCTCTGCTTTGTTCCTGCCTGTCCTGACTGTTTGACTCACTCCTTTTCAGTCTAAATTCCCGCCACCTTTCAATATTTTCCCCTCAGAATCTCGTCCTTCTCTCTTCCTATGTCATTAGTTCCAGTATGTACAATGACCTCCTGCTGGTCCCTCTCCCCCTTTGAGAATATTCTGCACCCTCTGCAAGATATCCTTGATCCTCACACCAGGCAGGCAACACACCATTCAGATGTCCCACTGTCGGCTGCAGAAACATCTGTCTGTGCCTCTGACTACAGAGTCCCCTATCACAATCAATTGTTTGGAATCTGGCGTACCCCTCATTACATTAGATCCAGTCTCAGTACCAGAAGACTGGCTGTCAGTGCTACATTCCCCTAAGAGTCCATCAGGCCCTACATTTTCCAAAACAGCACACTTGTTTGAGATGGGGATAGCCACAGGAGACTCCTGCACTACCTGCCTACCTTGTCTACCTTTCCTGGAGGTCACCCATCTACTTAACTGTATCTGTGGTTTATCTCCCTTCCTGCAACTGCCATCCATCACACCCCTAGCTCCTGTAAATTCTTCATTGCCTCTAGCTGCCACTCCAATCAATCCATGCGATCCGATAGGATTCACAACCAAACACACTTCCTGTAGACATAATCACCAGTAACATGGAAACTCTCCCTAATCTCACACATCCGACAGGAAGAGCACATCACTCTAGTAAAGGCCATCTTTGCACTTTAATAATCTACAGACTATGGAAGAAGAAGAATCCCTACAGAGTAGAAACAGGCCCTTCGGCCCAACAAGTCCACACCAACACTCAGAGCATCCCACCCAGACCCATCCCCCTATAACCCACCTAATCTACACATCTCTGAACACTATGGGCAATTTATCTTGGCCAATCCACCTAGCCTGCACATCTTTGGGCTGTGGGAGGAAACCGGAACATGTGGAGGAAACCCACACAGACACGGGGAGAATATGCAAACTCCACACAGACAGTCACCCTAGGGCGGAATTTAAAGTACTGATGGCAGAGAGATATTCAACCACAGAAACATTCTCCGCTAGTTCCCATTCTCAATACATTCCACAGTTACACATGCAAACTAAATAATAACCAGAAAGTTTAGTACAACTTCCTAAACCAAAACCCTAAGGGTCTCAACCCGAAATGTCAAGTTTCCTGCTCTTCTGATGCTGCCTGGTCTGCTGTGCTCCTCCAGCTCCACACTGTGTTACCCCTAAAGTTAATATGTTTTAACAATTTAATTGTTCAGTTGTAACAACCACATACGTTCATTCGAGGTCTGCCGGCGAACATGATCATAGAACTTGGTGTTGTTGGAAAACATTCCTCCACAGTTGGGGCAGGAGACAACCTTCTCCTGTGTGTGACTCCTCAGGTGCTCACGAAGTTTAAATCTGATTTTAAATGTAGCGCCACAACCTGAAGCATGAATAAAATGCAAAAAAAAAATGTTTAGAGAAATCTGTAATTAATTCTTGGGGCAGGAAACAGAATGGAAACATACATATTTTTCAAATGTCTTACAGCACGGTTTTGTGGTGGTGGTGAGGTTTTGCACTCAGCCCTTTGTGTCTGTGCCAGTCATTCGATGACCATTTCATTGGAATTAAAATGACACAGTGAAGGGATACATTGGGAGAAGGAAAGCAAAAACATTTCCCATGAATCAAGTTGCAAACCGCTATCCATAAGATCATAAGATATGAGCACAGAAGAAGGCCATTTGTCCTATTGAGTCTGCTCCACCATTTGATCCATGCCTGACATGTTTCTCAACCCCATTCTCCTGCCTTCTTTCTGTAACTCTTGATCTCCTAACCAATTAAGAACCTATCTATTTGTCTTAAATATACTCAATGTCTTGGCCTCCACAGCCCTCTGTGGCAATAAATTCCACAGATTAATTACCCTCTGGCTGAAAATATACCTCCTCATCTCAGTTCTAAAGGGTCTTCTATTCACTATGAGGCTGTGGCCTCAGGTCCTAGTCTCTCCTACTAATGGCTACATCTTCTCCACATCCATTCTATCCAGGCCTCTCAGTCTTTTGTACGTTTCAATCAGATCCCCCCTCATTCTTCTGAGTGCCATCGAGTACAGACCCAGAGACCTCAGCCGCTGCTCCTTTGTCAAGCCTTTCATGTCCGGGATCATTTTTGTAAACCTCCTCTGGACCCTCTCCAGCACATCCTTCCTTTGATACAGGGCAAAAAGCTATTTCCAACATTCCAAATGTGGTCTGGTCAGAGCCATATACAGCCTCCGCAGTATATTTCTGCTCTTGTATTCTAACCCTCTTGAAATGAATGCTAACATTGCATTTGATTTCCTAACCACCAACTGAACCTGCATCTTAATCTTAAGAGAATCTGAACCAGGATTCCTAAATCCCTTTGTGCTTCAGATTTCCGAAACCTTTCCCTGTTAATAAAACAGACTACGTCTCTATACTTCCAACCTCACAAAGTCCCACATTATATTGTATCTGCCACTTCTTTGCCCACTCACCTAGCATGTCCAAGAACTTCCGCTGACTCCCTGCTTTCTCAATACTAGCTGCCCCTCCACCTATCTTTGTGTCATTTGCAAAGTTAGCAACAACGCCCTCAGTTCCTTCATCCAGATCGTTACTACATGATGTGAATAGTTGTAGTACCAACACTGGCCCCTGCCGAACTCCACTAATCACTGGTTGCCATCCTGAAAAAGACCCCTTTATCCTTATTCTTTGCCTTCTGCCGGTAAGCCAGTCCTCTGTCCATGCACTTAACATCATGGGTTCTTATCTTATTTAGCAGCCTCCTGTGCAGGACTATGTCAAAGGCCTTCTGGAAATCCCAATAGATCACATCTACTGGCTCTTCTTTGTCTAACTAGCTCATTACCTCCAAAGAATTCTAACGGATTTGTTAGGTATGACATCCCCTTGATGAAGCTGTGTTGACTCTGCCCTATTTTACCACGCACTTCCAAGCACTCGGCAATCTCATCCTTAATAATGGACTCAAAAATGTTACCAATGACCGAGGTCAGGCTAATTGGCCTAAAGTTTCTGGCTTCTGCATCCCTCTCTTCTTAAACAGGGATATTATATTAAATATTTTCCAGTCCTCTGGGACCTAACTGACTGTAATGATTCCTGAAAGATCACCCTCTACAATCTCCTCAGCTCTCTCCTTCAGAGGTGTAGTCCATCTCGTTCAGGTAATTATTCTGCCTTCAGACCTTTCAACTTCCGTAGCACTTTCTCCTTAGTGATGGTCACTACAGTCACCTCTGCCCCCTGACTTTCTTGAAGTTCTGGTATGCTGCTAGTGTCTTATACTGTGAAAACTGAGGCATGAGGCAGATCCATTAACAAATCTTCTTCCTGGTGTCAGTTTGGTCTATTAGTTGCAGTCTTGCCTCAAAAGGTCGAACTGCATGAGCTCCTAATATAAGCTGACACTTCAGCTTTGTAACAAAGGAATGCTACATTGGTGTTGTATATATGCACTTTTTCTTTAAATTTATAAACATCACCTAGGATTGAGAGAAAGAAAGAAACGTTTGTTTCAAACTTTCACACCCCAAAGCACTTTACAACTCACAATGTACTTCTGAAGTACAGACACTTTTGTTGGAAATGTGGCAGGCGATTGGTGCACAACAAGATCACAGAAACAGCACCAAAATAAATGACCAGGTTTGTTTTAGGAGTCCACTGTATGATAAATATTGGAGGGATACCAAGAAGATTTCTCGGCTTTTTTTGAGAATGAGTCTTCTGTGACCTTTCACTACTTGTTACTTAAGTGAGCTATTTAAAACAACAACAACTGCAATCCTTTCATCTCAAGTGCTACAACCAGGTTCATGGAGGCAGAGGGAGGAAATTATGGCACATATGATTTGTCTGCCACAGAACACTGCTTTGGGAATGTGGTCTGAGAGGTTCAGAGGCATTCCACAGTGTGGGGGGAAACCATCATTCCACAGTGGCTGTAATGTGTTCGTCTCTAGATAAGAGGTGCATCAGAAATGAACTGGGAAATAACCTCAGCCAGGATGCAAGCAAGTTGCTTCCAACAAGATTAAAAATAAAAGTAATAAAGTACTGAGAATGCTAGAAATAAAAAATAAAAGCAGAATGCAGTGTAGGTTTGGCACCATCTCATTAAACCTTTTCTCTTTCCATTGCCAGGCCTGCTGATTATCACCAATATTTTCTATTTTCATTAAAAATAAAGAATCTGTAATTTCTACCTTTTATGTTTAAAAAAGATTTAGACAAACATGGTTTCAATCATAAATGAATAAAATTAAGCTTAGGAGGACGTTTGAGTCCAGAATTAAAATGCCAACTTTCTTCAATATCTGCATCAGTCAGTTACCTTTCCAGCAGCATGAAATGGTTTCATTTTTGTTAGGAAGGCTTTCTTTATCTGTGCACTGTCCATGCATGTCCACATGCCGGTAAAACCATTCCGGATTGTCAAATGTACTCTAGAAACAAAACACAAATTAATACACAACTGAAGTACTTCAATTAGGGGTCCGAATATAACAAGGTTGCACCATCAGGTGTTGCCTTTGAAGTTTGAGTACACGTACATTCATCAAACATCAACACCTCGACTTCACAAATATTTCAGACTGTAGAAATTCCAAATAGGTTTAAGGCAATTAATAGAATAAATACTCCCAGTTATATAATGCACTGTCACATTGAAACACCTCAAATTTCATTACAACGAATAGTGTTCAGCATGGTTCAGTGAGCAGCACTCTCTCCTCAGACTTAAAAGACTGTTAGATCAAGTTCCATGCTAGAGACTTGAGGACAAATCTTATACTTAGTGCTGTATTGGAAGACTGCTACATTGTCTAAGGTGTTGGGTCAACATAAAAGAGCAGGGAAATTGACAATATTTATCACTCAAGCAGTAACTCTGAACCTGTTTTCTGCCACATTGCTGCGTACAAATTACCGCTTTCAATGTCATGACAGTTACATATTAAAAATACATTCAGTAATGCACACTCTGCCCTATGGCTATGAATGGCACTTTATACTCAAGTTCTTTCTTTCACAATGAGTTACTTCTGAAGTTCTGTGACTTAATATAGGCAGAATTGAAATCCAATTATATTTTCTTCAACACCCTTCCACCAAGATTATTCTCATCTCCATTCCTAAAGGTAGTAACTCTTGCAAGGTAGTTTTGTGGATCAGTGACTGCCAATAGTAAAACATATTTCTGTCTTGAGCTGATGTTCATAGTTAATCACTGGTTAATATCCATAAACTTGGCTGACTAAACTAAAAATCTTTCATTCTTGGGCAGTCAGCATTTATTGCCCAGTCCTGGTAGTTCCAAATTTAATTCAACTTTAAGTTGCTTACTGGGCCATTTGCAATGGACAATTAATAATTTAAAACATTTGTGTGGGATTGATGTCATGTATTGGCCACATCAGGTAATGATGAGCACAGAAAGGCAGACAGGAAAGTACAGTTGAGACCACAATCCTTTCAGCCATGATTTATCAAATGGTTATCTCTCTCCATGTCGGCAAAACTAAAGAACTGATCATTGACTTCAGAAAGAAAGGAGGAGGACACGCCCCCATCTACATCAACATAGCAGAGGTTGAGAGGGTTGAGAGCGTCAAGTTCATAGGAGTGGTGATAACCGACGACCTGTCCTGGACTTCCCACGTAGATGCAACTGTCAAGTAGGTACAACAACACCTCTTCTTCTTCAGACAGCTTAGGAAATTCAGCATGTCCATAAGGACCTCACCAACTTTTAATGATGTACCATTGAAAGCACGCTGTCCGAGTACATAACAGCCTGGTATGGCAACTGCTCTGCCCAGGGCCATAACAAAATACAGAAGGTTGTGTACACAGTCCAGAACATCATGGAAGCCAACCTACCATCCATGGACTCCATTTACACGTCTCATTGCCGTGGAAAGGCTGCCAACATCATCAAAGACCCATCTCACCCAGGTAATGCTCGCGTACAACCTCTTCCATCAGGCAGAAGATACAGAAGCTTGAACACAGGCATCAGCAGGTTCAAGAACAGCTGGATGTTGTAGACTTGCTCACCGAGCCGGTGTGTTTGACTGCAGACATTTCGGCACCCTGCTAGGTAACATCATCAGTGCGCCTCTAGTAAAGCATTGGTGTTCTATCCCGCTTGTTATTTATATGCCTCGGTTTGTTGGGGTGGTTGGCATCACTTCTGGTTCTGTTTTTCAGTGGCTTGTATATTGGGTCCAGTTCAATGTGTTTGTTAATGGAGTTCTGGTTGGAATGCCAGGCCTCCAGGAATTCCCTGGTATATCTTGTTTGGCTTGTGCTGTTATGGATGTGTTGTCCCAGTCGAATTTCTGTCCTTCTTTCTCTGTGCGTACTGACACCAGTGAGAATTGGTCATGTCTCTTCGTGGCTAGTCGGTGGTCGTGTAACTTCATTGTCAGTTTTCTTCCAGTTTGGCCTTTGTAATGTTTCTCACAGTCCTTGCACGATATTTTGTATAATACGTTGGTTTTATTGGTTGTGGGTGTGGGATCCTTCATGTTCATCAGTAGCTGTCGCAGGGTGGCGTTGGTCTGTGGGCTCCCCGATGCCTAGGGGTCTGAGTAGTCTTGTGGTCATCTCTGATATGTCTCTGATGTACAGTAGGGTGACTAGTGTGTCTGGTCGTGTTGTGTCTTCTTGTTGTGGTCTATCGCAGAGGTAATGGCAGATTGTGCTTTTTGGGTATCCATTCCTTTTAAAAGCTCTGTATAAGTGCTCCTGTTTTGTTTGTGCAATTATGCGGAGTTTTTAAAGGAATGGATACCCAAAAAGCATAAAAATCAAGAAGACACAACATAGCCAGACACACTAGCCACCCTACCGTACATCAGAGGCATATCAGAGATGACTACAAGTCTACTCAGACCCTTGGGTATCAGAGTGGCCCACAAACCAACGACCACCCTGCGACAGCTACTGATGAACGTAAAGGATCCCATACTCACAACTAACAAAAACTAACATAATATACAAAATACCAAGCAAGGACTGTGAGACACATTACATAGGCCAAACTGGAAGAAAACTGACAATAAGGATACACAAACATTAACTAGCCACTGGTTTCAATACAGACGGACAAAGAAGGATACAAATTCGACTGGGACAACATATCCATAACAGCACAAGCCAAACAGAGACATGTCAGGGAATTCCTGAAGGCCTGGCATTCCGACCAGAACTCCATCAACAAACACATTGAACTGGATCCAATATACAATCCACTGAAAAACAGAACCGGAAGAGATGCCAACCACCCCAGCAAACCAAGGCATATAAGTAACAAGCAGAACAGAACACCAAATCTTCACCGGAGGCCCACTGACGATGTTACCTAGCAAGGTGATGAAACGTCTGCAATCAAACACACCGACTCAGCGATCAAGTCTACAACCTCATCCACAACCCGGGATACAAATCTTCTCAAAAACAGAAGAACGGCTTCTTCCCTGCTGTTATTAGAGTAATGAGCGGACTCTCTAACTTCAAATAATGTTGTTTCCTTAATGTTGATCTTGATTTACGCACATCCTGTGCAATGTAACCTGTATGCCTCGCTCCGCCTAAGCGCCCTATGTCCTTGCTTACAATAATCTGCCTGTACTACTTGCAA